CTGGAGTAAGGATAACAACAATTATTGCTATGTTATTTTCCTTAATGCATTGTGCTGTATGTACTGTACAGAGTGGAAATCACTTCAGCTACTATTAATGTTAGTAATCATTCTCCATCAGCCACACTGCATACAGTTTTAGGAGAAAAGTGAAAAATAACTCAGAGTGCCTTAAAAATGGCATTGTAGTCATATCCTGACTCTGTGCTTTCCCGGCACAGGGTATTTAAAGCCCAGATCTGAATAACGCAGCCGGCACTGACATCTCTACATTTCAGGCACACGTAAGAAAAATCCTGTTTTGATGCAGATGATACATAACTTTAAAAAGCAAATAGTTATCACAAATATACATCACACCTCAGGACACATTGCTGTCAGTGGCTTGACATTTCAAATGACGAGTTTCACAAATGTGCATAACCATCAGATTTGATTGAACAATGTTTTAGAAAAACTCACATGCTCATCTAGAACTTTTTTCATTGTGTTTTGGCACTGAAGCATGAAACAGGAAATCTACAGTGGGTTCCTCTTTGGTTGTGAGGAAGCAAACGCTTTGATCAGTTCTACGTACTCCAAGGCTGTAGTCAGCTATTCCTCCACGGATAATGAAACCAAAGCCCAGAGTGACTCTGTTTCTCTGTGGATCCTGTGTGATATTTTATATATAGTTCTCAGCATAAATCAAACAAGCTTTCATTTGTACAGTTTGAGGCCAGAGGCAGCAAGCACAGGGGAAGAATGGTATGGGAAAACATGTTCGTGGTGCTTTTTACCTAGTCTTTTCACTGTGTTGGTTACTGACTCTTTAATGATTGACTTGCAAGGGAAATCTTCAGAGACGGGAGACAGTCATCCAAAACAAAAACAAAAAACCCCTCAAAAATCATTTGAGTGTTTTTCCTGACTGTCAGTAACATTATTGTTTAGCACAGCATTCGGGCAGTGGTGTTATGAATCTTAAAACTTAAGGAAAAGATTCCTTGTCTCAGACCTTGCCACTCAGAATGCATGCAAACATGATTTTTAATATAAATCTTCCTCTAGTAAAGGCAGGTAAGAATCCTGCAAGTTTCCTCCTCTCCTTATAAAACAGGTCACATAATAAAAGCTCAGTGAGAGGGAAGAATTCCATCAAGATGATGCTGAGGTTTTTTTAGAGGGAGGAGGGTGTTCAATTTTTCTGTTTATCTATTTGATAACCTGGCTCTTGGTGCTTGAGAAAACCACATATATGAATGAAGGTTTAATTTCCTAGTTTACCTTGAGGGGGGTGGTTCTGTGACAAATGGATCAAATCCACTGAAATTTATACCTGGTGGTGTTCCATTATCCTACATGGAATTATACTTTAAATGAATGTAAACAGTATGTCATAGTTTCTGCAAGCAACAAGCCACGAAAAAAAAGGGATTTCATTACTTTTGCTAGTTACTGTTTTGTATCATCTTCCATACTCATGACAATGTATTTCAGACTAGTGATTGAGCTCAGCTTTCAGCATGAGAACTACAAATTTGGTGGCTGGACATTGATGCATCAAGCGCTTGCTGTACCATTGTGACCGTGAGGTCACAATGGCATATGAAGGCATATGGCAGAACCAGTGCCATTAAATTGTGTTATGTGTTGAAATTACACGGTTCCTGCACCTAGGTAAAAATAATGTTATCAGTTTGCAAACCTGAAACATGGAGATCTGTTCTCTGAGGACATTCAGTACTTTCTTCAACTCACCAACATCTATGGGACTAAGGGTTTCAGGGTTTATGCCAAGGTATTTGCAAGGACAGCATTCAATGAAACCAAAGGAATGCGTAGGGGAGGAGGAAAAAACTCAGCTCATTCTCTTCATATGCTTTCATTGTTTTTGTTCTTCCTGAAAAATAATGTCCTTTCAGATTTCGTTTGACATCTCCATGATGTTGAACAGATTCGGAGAAATCACCAATATTTTGACAGGGTTCCTTGGCAATGAAATGTTCATGAAGCTCATCTGTCATGAGCTAATCTGGCTCATCTAGCCAAAGCAGTAGCTTAGGCGGATATATTACTGTAACAATTTAATTTCTACACATTTTCTTCGTCTCTGGTGATTGCAGTAATGGCAACTCATAGTTCAGTTGCAGAAACATTGTTAGTAATTGCGACACAACTATAGCTTTGGTTTTGTGAGAACCTTGCTTAAGGTAGCAAGGCAGCATCATGTCATTCAAGTGCCGCCTTCTTGGTAACAAGGCAATACTCTGATTGTGCTGGCCATCTTCAGTGTTCCTGGCTTCAAAACCTTAACCTCCTACCTTGTTTCCCTCCCACCAACCTTTTGAGTTTCATACCATAATGCTGATGCCTTCTAACCTACAGCATCAGCACATGAATGCCTGAGGCTGTTTATACGCTCAAAACTGCTTCTATTAATAGTAAATATCTGTAGAAAACTAGCACTCAAGACTCAACAACACTAGCAGTATACAAGCACTACCCACAAATCAGTCTGTTCCCTGGAAAGCTTATGTAGGTGCAGTTCCACTGAGCACAGAAGATTTACTCCATATTTCACACCACCATCAATAAAATCAGACTTTATGTATTTTACTCAGTCACAACCCACTGTCATGGTTTAACCCAGCAGGCAGCTAAACACCACACAGCCGTTTGCTCACTCCACCCCCCGCAGTGGGATGAGGGAGAGAATTGGGGAGAGGGAAAAAAAGTAAGATTCATGGGTTGAGATAAAGGCAGTTTAATGGGACAGAAAAGGAAAGGAAAATAATAATAATAATAATGGTAAAAGAATATACAAAGTAAGTGATGCACAATGTAATTGCTCACCACCCGCCAACTGATGCCCAGCCTCACACATCACCACCAAGTGCACCCAGGTCCCTGAGCAAAAGCAATCCCACAAATGGGTTTGTCTTTGCCTTAGACAGGAATAACCCAGACTGCCTTCTCCAGCATATTTTTTACATGCACTATAGGGACTTTTATCTCCTTCTACGGTATGTAAAAGTTTTGACTGGGCAGGGCCAGCCCAATTGGCAGATCCCCTAGTGTTGACTAACCAGGTGGCTTTGGCTCAATGTGTATCCCAATGTTTGAGTGTCCCAGCACCCGTTGCTCTCAGTGTAGTCTTTAACAGTCCATTGTACCATTCGATTTTCCCGGAGGCTGGTGCACGATAGGGGATGTGATACACCCACTCAAGGCCGTGTTCTTTGGCACAGGTGTCTATGAAGTTGTTTCGGAAATGAGTCCCATTTTCTGACTCAATTCATTCTGGGGTGCCATGTCACCATAGCACTTGCTTTTCAAGGCCCAGGATAGTGTTCCAGGCAGTGGCACGGGGCACAGTTTCCAGCCATCTAGTGATTGCTTCCACCATTGTAAGCACATGGCGCTTGCCTTGGCACGTTTGTGGGAGTGGGATATAATCGATCTGCCAGGCCTCCCCATATTTATATTTCAGCCATTGTCCTCCATACCAAAGAGGCTTTAACCACTTGGCTTGCTTGATTGCAGCACAGCACGTGTTTTGCATTTATGGATAACCTGTGTAATGGCACCCATGGTCAAGTACACTCCTCGATAATGAGCCCATGTTATGTTGCATCTCTTCCTTGATGGCCTGAGGTGTCATGGGCCCACTGAGCTATAAATAATTCACCCTTATGTTGCCAGTCCAGATCCACCTGAGCCACTTCAATCTTAGCAGCCCGGTCCACCTGCTGGTTGTTTTGATGTTCTTCAGTGGCCCAACTACTGGATACGTGACCTGTACTTTTACAATCAGATTTTCTACCTGGGCAGCAATATCTTGCCACAGTGCAGCAGCCCAGGTGGGTTTGCCTCTGCACTGCCAGTTGTTCGGCTTGCATTGCTGCACCTAGCCCCACAGGGCTTTTGCCACTATCCATGAGTCAGTACAGAGATAGAGCACTGGACACTTTTCTTGTTCAGCAATACCTGAAGCCAGCTGGATGGCTTTCACATCTGTAGACTGACTTGATTCACCTTCTCCTTCACCAGTTTCTGCAACTTATTGTATAGGACTCCATTCAGCAGCCTTCCACCTCCAATGCTTTCCCACAAGATGACAGGACCCATCAATGAACAGGACATATTGCTTCTCATTTTATGATAGTTTGTTATGCAGTGGGGCCTCTTTGGCATGCACCACCTCCTCCTCCTCCATGATATTCCAAAATCTTTGCCTTCTGGCTAGTCCATGATCACTTCCAAGATTCCTGGGCAACTGGGGCTTCGTATTGGAGGCCTTTGTGTGATCAGTGTGACCCACGTACTCCATGTAGCATCAGTTGCATGATGTGTAGAGGGGACCCTCCCTTTGAACACCCAGCCCAGTGCCAGCAGTCAGTGTGCCAAGAGGAGCCGTACCTCCTTCAGTACCAACCACTTCCAAAGCAGCCTGAACCCCTTCACATGCTGCCAATATCTCTTTCTCAGTGGAGTGTAATGGGCCTCAGATCCTCTGTATCCCTGACTCCAAAACCCTAGACCCTAGGGGTTGACCTCAGTCTCCCCTGGTGCTTTCTGCCAGAGGCTCCAGGTAGGGCCCTTCTCCTCGGCTGCAGTGTAGAGCACATTTTTTACATCTTGTCCTGCCCAGACTGTCCCAAGGGCTACTGCATGAACTCTCTCCTGTTTAGTTTGTTCAAAGGCTTGCTGTTGCTCAGGGCCCTATTTGAAACTGTTCTTCTCCTGGGTCACTTGATAGAGAAGGCTTATGATCAGACTGTCATTTGGAATATGCATTCTCCAAAAACACACCACGCCTAAGAAAGGTTGTGCTTCCTTTTTGCTGGTTGGTGGGGACACAGCTGTTAATCTGTTGATCACATCCATTTGGGATCTAATGACATCCATCTTGCCATTTTATTCCTAAAAACCAGATCTCCCATGTGGGTCCCTTGACCTTACTTTGTTTTATGGCAAAACCGGCTTTCAGAAGGATTTGGACTATTTTCCTCCCTTTCTCAAAAGCCTCTCTGCTCTGTTGTCCCACACGATGATGTCATCAATGTATTGCAGGTGTTCCAGAGCTTCACCCTGTTCCAGTGCAGTCTGGAACGGTCATGGCAAATGGTAGGGCTGTGTTTCCACCCCCGGGGCAGTTGATTCCAGGCATACTGGACACCCCTCCAAGTGAAAGCAAACTGTGGCCTGCACTCCGCAGCCAAAGGGATTGAGAAAAACGCATTAGCGATGTCAGTTGTGGCATACCACTTGGCTGCCTTTGACTCCAGTTCGTATTGAAGTTCTAGTATGTCTGGCACGGCAGCACTCAGTGGCGACGTGACTTCATTCAGGCCACGATAGTCTACTGTCAGTCTCCACTCTTCGTTAGACTTTTGCACTGGCCTTATGGGACTCTTAAAGGGTGAGCAAGTCTTGCTGATCACTTCTTGGCTCTCCAGTTGATGAATCAGCTTATGGATGGGATCAGGGAGTCTCGGTTGGTGCGATATTGCCACCAGTGCATCGTTGTGGTAGTGATTGGCACCTGATGTTCTTCGACCCTAAGCAACCCCACAACAGAAGGGTCCTGTGAGAGACCAGGCAAGGTGGACAGCTGCTTCATTTCCTCAGTCTCCAAGGCAGTTATACCAAAAGCCCACTGATACCCTTTTGGGTCCTTGAAATACCCTCTCCTGAGGCAGTCTATTCCAAGGATGCATGAAGCCTCTGGGCCAGTCACAACAGGGTGCTTTTGCCACTCAGTCCTGGTTAGGCTCACTTTTAGCTTCCAATACAGTTGGGATCCCCCTGTCACTCCAGAAATCCAGATGGGTTCTGCCCCTGTACATCTTGATGGCATTAGGGTACGCTGTGCACCGGTGTCCACTAGAGCCTTATACTCCCGTGGGTATAATGTCCAATAAACCTGTTGTCCCCTCTTCCACCTGGCTGGAGGCAGGACCACTCTAGTCCTGGTCATACTATTCGTTACTCACTTCTTGCAAATGTAAATCAAAAGTCCTTTTATTAAGACTGGAAGTAAAATCAGTGCTTTTACTCTGTCTGGGGAAATGCTCACTGGAAACTGGAGCAGCAATTTTCCTGGAAGGACCCCCTTTTGTGATTGTTTTTCCTTGCAACTCACATACCTGTGCCTCTAGGGTCGAGGTAGATGTTCCATCCCACCTCCTCATGTCCTCTCTGTGGTCACACAGGTAAAACCACAGGGTAGCCACCCACTTGGCCTGGGTGACATATAACATCTTCCTCGAACACCTGAACATCCTTTCCTTCACGCCTGACAGAAGTAATCTCCAAAGACTGAGGTATTGTTTCCCTGTTCCAATTGCTTTGTCAACGTCCCCTTCCCTAGAAAGGGATCCCAGCTGTTTGGCTTCCCTACCCTCTAATTCCAGGCTATTGGCCCCATTATCCCAGATTGGAGCAGCCAGGTGACAATGTGCTGGCCCAGTCAATGACTGAAATCTTTTTGCATATCTCACAGCTTATTTAGGATTAGGGATTGGGTGGTTACCATCTGATTTATGGGTTTTGCCTCTTTCTCCTCCTGTTCTCATGATGGCCCTGTCTCATCTTCATTCCTTCATAAAAGGGCTGATTTTCTTGTGTATAGGGGCAACTGATACCGGCACGGGTTGGTTTTCTGGTTCAGCTACATTGCCTGTCATGGGGGTTGGAGTAGCTGCAGTGCTTGTCATGGGGGTATTCTTAAATTTCTTAAAGTTGTTTAACCCTAAACAAGACCTGAGCCACATTCAGGAGACCTAGAAACAGGAACATGATGATTTGAACATCCCAAGGATATTCAAAATTCTCAAGAGCTGTTGTAAGTAGCCTGAAGGAGAAAGGAAAGGTGAAGAAGCAGGGGAAAGTGTCCCCTCTTGTCTCCTCCCATATATTAGCTCTCTAGGAGAAAAGGTGAAGAGTGTAATTATTAATAGTTTCCAAGAGATGGCTCCCGAAGTACAGGGATGATGGCAGTGATGAGTACAATCTCACAACCAATAATTTTATCATACCATAAGCCAGTATTACACAGTACAGCAAAGCAGTAACTTTAATCCAGCTCCCAGTGGTGATAAACAGCACCACAGGGAGTGCATACGGCAAGTAAGATAGAATCATAGAATCATTTAGATTGAAAAAGACCTTTAAGACGTTACATAACACAACTCTGAGAAAAAGCACGACGACTCTGAGAGCAAATAAATCACCATTGTGACCAGTGACTATTAAACTAATATAATGAGTGATTACAACATATTTGTTTTAACACACTCTGGTCAAATCAGTTGTTAGCTCAACCCTTCATTCTCCACATTGAGCACCAAAAAGGACTGTTGTGGTTTAATCCGGCAAGCAGCTAAACACCACACAGCCATTCGCTCACTCCCAACCCCACAGTGGGATGGGGGAGAGAATCAGGGGAAAAAAAAGTAAAATTCGAGGGTTGAGATAAAGACAGTTTAATAGGACAGAAAAGGAAGGGGAAATAAATAATAATAATAATAATAATAATAATAATAATAATGACAAAAGGATATACAAAATAAATGATGCACAATGCAATTGCTCACCACCTGCCAAACAATGCTCTGCCAGCTCCCGAGCAGCAGTCACTGACCCCCCAGCCAGCTTTCCCCCAGTTTATATACTGAGCATGACCTCGTATGGCATTGAATACCCTTTTGGCCAGTTGGGATCAGCTGTCCTGGCTGTGTCCCTTTCCCAGCTTTTCACTGGCAGCGCATAGGAAGCTGAAAAGTCCTTGACTGGTGTAAGCACTACTTAGCAATAACTACATCAGTGTGTTATCAGCTTTATTCTCATGCTAAATCCAAACCACAGCACTATACCAGCTACTAGGAAAAAAAAATTAACTCTGTCTCAGCCAAAACCAGGACAGTTAAAGAAATATGTCTGTAATTATATGTTAGCTGTTGTTGAGAGCATGATAGCTATTGCATTTTCAAAGAAAGACACGAATACTAATAGTCACAGTGACTCACACAATACTGGAGATGTACGTAACTCCTTACAAAACAAAGATCCCAACACTTATCAATCCAGAGCCTTGAATACAAGTGCTGTTATTCAAACCAAATGTCTCATCTTTTCAGCCATTACCTCAGAATGAATAGTATTTGCAAAGCTTCCCATTAAAAAATTCTCTTGTTAAAATCCCAGGTGATACAGCATTAATATATTATTTCAAAACATAAATGATTTGTCTTAACTATTAAAGAACTGAGCCCAGGAATAACAATTGTCTGTGAAGTGACTTTTGAACTTTTCAAGAGCAAATACACAACTTCAGTTCAAAGCAGAATAGTTCCAAATCAAGCATCATTGCTCTTCAAAAACAACAATTACGGTGGTATGAGAAGAAAGGAATAGTGTACTTACGGTCAAGAGCGGTGGTGGCCAGAAGGTAAGTAATGGGAGAGACACTCATGGCTTCAATTCTTCCAGAGTGAAAGGTATATAGGCACTCTGGATCACGGCTCTGCAGTGCAAAACAGAAGAACAGAAATTCTGTTACATGCTGGAACTGCGCTTACAAAGTATTACCAGCCATACCTACAGTGAACCTGAAAAATCTAGACAGGTGCTGTTTGTGTGAACAAAATTTGGCATGCATGAGGTACCTATATGCAATTCCTTTTTTTTTAATTTAAATTTTCATAGGAAGAATTAAAGCAAAATTAGTGTAGGAACACTAAGTTCATTTAAAATTCCATCATTTTCTATGTGAAAATAAAGGGGAATGCCTTTCATTAAGTGGATTCAGGCTTGGAATTAATATTTTTAACAAACCATTGTTGCTCTGAAGGCAAAGAAAGTGCTCTCACGCCTAGGATTTAGGCTGCCTGGGAGATTATTTCATCATCCAAGGAATTCCAGTTTTTTCCTCTATATATTTTTTACATTAGTTTTTATAGTAAGCTTTGGCCATCTTTTATTTACCATCAAATTCTTGGAACAAAATTTTACGTGCTGCCACAGAACTTTATTCCACTCAAAGGGATTGTTCCCATTTACTTTAATATGTTTGGGAGCAAAAATTAAATGCTACCATTTTAACTGTGTCGTCTATTTCTCCATCAAAAACATCTCCAGCAGTAACACTAGTAACCAGTAGGACAAAACACGTGAAGTGCATTTCATCTTCTCCTTGTTTTTCCTAGTTCTTTATGTCATTTAGAGATGACAGTAAGGATTGTTTCAAACACCGCTCTAGATAGGACATATCAATACTCCTTGAACTCATTTCCTGCATCCATACAACTTTTATTACCAGTTTATGACAAAACTCTATTAAGGTAACTTGAATTTGCCAGCCAAAATTTCAGGAATCAAAAATCAAATTATTTTTTATAATCCTGCATAGTCATTATAATCCATAACATTATGAAAATAAATGTTTAAGAAAAAATATAAATCTGTTTCAATGCTAAAATTTTCAACTGTGCAGCTTCATAAAGCACAAACTTCAATAAAGGAAGTTATTGCAAAGGAATTGAAGAAATGAGAAGAAAGAAAAAGAAAACAAACTTACCATATTTGAAAAAGTCAAATCCAGCTTCCAGATTGCTCCATTGGTATCCTGAAGAAGAAAAAACAAAACATGTAACTTGAATATTTTCAAACTCAATTTGGAAATAAAACTGCCCACAATGACTCCTTAAAAATTCCTTAATGATTATCATTGTGAAACTGAAATGACTGAATATGGTGATGTTGATCCTATCAGTCCTACCAATCAGTCCAGGATAACAGAACTTGGACAATACCTTTTGACATTCTCCTATTCTAATGCAGTTCTGGCTCTGAAAGCCAGAGCCTCATACTGGTGAGACTCTAGTAACTAGTGTGTAGTTATTATACACTAAAAATATAGAATAGCATAGCATAGCATAGAGTAGTTCAGTTCAGTTGGAAGGGACCTACAATGATCATCTAGTCCAACTGCCTGACCACTTCAGGGCTGACCAGAAGTTAAAGCATGTTATTAAGGGCATTGTCCAAATGCTTCTTAGACACTGACGGACTTGGGACATAAACCACCTCTCTAGCAAGTCTGCTCCAGTGTTTGAAAGAAGATGATCATATACATATATATATATATACACACAGAAGGAGATTGAATACTACAAAAAAGAAATGCACTGACTTGTAATAGACTCCTGCTGTTACTTAATGTCACCTCCTTCTTTCTGTGTTTCTCCACAGAGATGTATGTACTTGAGTGTATCTTACCTGAGCGTACCAAACGGGCTGTCCACAGTCATGAACTTTTGACATGAAATTTAGACTGACATTTCTGCCAACATGAAGTTCATTCATAGGCTCCACCTCCAGTAACCCTGTGTCATCCACAGAATCAGCAGCATCTATTGTCTCAAAGTTCCACACCTTCATGGAGTTGGAAGCATAAAAAAGGGGGGGTTTATAAGGCCAGGTTATGTTTTTATACACTGTTAATATGGAAATTCAAAATTATAAGAAACCAGGGGAGTGTAGATTCTACAGGTAGAGTATGAAATCTGTCATATCTGCCTCCTTGCTTTGACTGTGACCTAGAGCAGTGACAATCAGCAACTACTATCTGATACATTTGGGTGCAATGCAAACTACATGTAAAAATTCTGTGTCCAATTCTAAAACAACAGTAGCCTAAATTCAGCCCTGGCACTAGCAAAGCTGTACATGGCAGCCTCAAAACTATAGAGAGTAGATGATATCTGCCTGCTCTCAGCACTGCTCATGCTGAGGCAGCACAGAAGAAAGAATGGGAAATCTAACAGATCCATGTTCTGCTCTGTGGGGTAAGGACATGACATCAGCTGGAACCCTTATAACCAAGTGAATTTTCCTCATAGGATAATATCAATTTATAAAACAAACAACAACAAAACCCCCAGGGTGTCTGAAACCCTCTGCTGCCTTTAACAGTCAGCTTCCCATTGATTGTCTGGGTCTTTCACACATCAGCAGAAGACACAGTGTCTTCCTTCAAAGACCAGGTAAACAGGATTGCAGAATCTTTGATAACTGACAGGTGAGATCAGAAACTGGTGGTATGGTTAAAAAAAAATTTTTAACCTTAATTTATAGAATTATATGTTAACTTCAGGATGCTTTTTCTTTTAATTGTTCCTCTATTTCAGCATATATATCTCTCAGATGCTAGGTAATTTCTATGTCATTTTAACATTAATAATCTGAGCTTTCAAATATTCAGAAAATTAATTTCAAATATTGCCATAGTTTATCCTTTGGAATAACACCAAATGTATTAATAGGCCTGAAAATTATAAAGATTAACCAAAACTACACATAAAAAAAATATTGGGGTGTAGGAAAGAACAAAACTTTTAAAGAATCACTGTAAATTGTTTTGATTTACTAGAGTAAAAGGTGATTTAATTACTAGTATTAAACAGAGAACATTGTGTGAACACTATCGGATTCAAAAATATACAATGTGGAGATGTGCTCTTATTCTGTTTTTTTAAAAATTCATTCTCAGAAAGCAACTGCACTGGAAAATTACCTCCATAAATAAACCATAGTAAAGAAAATGTGTAACATTTACCTGCTGACCACAAATTTGGACACCTAAAGGCAGAGCAGTATTAAAACTCACCCGAATGAAGCCATCTTTTCCAACAGTGACAAGTTCTCCTTCATCCAGAACTAACTGGCTGACAGGGCCACTGTGACAGGGCTTGTGTCCAGCTCGACAGAGCTCTACTTTAATGAGGCCCCCTTCCCAAAGCAGCAAGTTGCCCCACTCAGTCCCTGAGATAACCTTCAACACAAATTGAGAGAAGCACATAAGCACCTCCACTTAACCATGCAGAAATCTTAGCAAGAATCTGGCTAACATCTGTGGCTTCTTTCTGTGAAAGCATTACATTGACAGCAATGTACAGGTATTTGCAAGAGGAGTAAAGTGTGAAAAGATTCAACTGTTTAGCAATGTGACATAATTTACATGCACTGAAATGGTTAGAGACCAGGGCTAACAGGCTTTGTATTTTTTTACACTAACGTTTTCACTACCCCATTAGAGGAGCCTCAGCTCTAAGCCAACTGAGGTCTTTTGTCTGAGAATTACAATACGAACTGTACTTTTCAATTATTACAAAGCAAGCCAGGTTTTTGGCAAATTAATGTCAATATTAGCTTATCAGAGCAGTGCATTGAGGTTCTAATCCAAATCACTTTGAAGCAAATAGTAACTCTCCAATTTACTCAGTGGACCTTATATCAAAACCTGAGAGGGAACATAAAATCAATTAAACTTTTTCTTACTTACCTTCCCATCAGGCAGCTCCACATAACCTATAATGTCAGTCACTGCTGTTTTTCCAAATCTGCCCAAAGCTCCTTGTAACTTGAGACCAGTGAATGTGAGAGCCATCTTCCAGAACCTGAGTATAGAAAAAAATCCCTCTCTGATACAAGATTTCCTAAACACACTCTTCAGTCCCTCTCAGGCATTGTAACGTTACCAGGGATGCCTCTGAAGTAGGGCTGTTCATTTATTACTCTTTTTCACTGCAGACCTTGGGTTTTTCTTTTTAAAATGAGATAAAGCTTTGTAACTACCCAAACATTTCCCTATACTACCCCTACGAAAAAAGTAGGAAAAGAATCTGGAATGGGCAAAATAAAGATTAAACTACTATTTAAAATTAGTAAGTGTAAAATGCATAGCTACATCTTTCCAGCTACAACCAATACACAGTTAGGGACACCTATTTTACTCTTGCTGTCTGCAGTGTATGACGCTCAACTTTGTAAATCCAAGGGACTAAGATCTTCACCAAATTTCATCCAAGTGCCCCCATGGTCTTGAGCTTGAGTATAAAATTGCACTGAGCCAAAGGTTTTATCCTAGATCTTCATAGCTATTTCTATTTCATCATTATATTTTTAGCAGTATGAAACATAACTTTAAATTACTGCGTTACAGAAAAATTAACATCTACTGCAATTAGGGATGGTTCACTGTGTGTGCAGGAGACATTACATTTAAGACGTGTTGGAAATTGGAATTTGAGACCACATTTGGGTGAAACATGTTTATCATGTTATAAAAGCCATGTCAGAGTTTATTCATAGTGTTTTCGCTCAAAATAAAGTTTGCAAGAGATTTTGTTTTGTCAGATTTCCATAAATAATGTATTCTAAACCACACTTGTTCTGGGTCTAAATAAGCCATTTGCTATTTCAGACCCACCTTGCAAGCAAACTATAGAGGAAATCTCAGATTTTGATCTGATTCCTCTGTTCAAATTCAAAGAAACTTTAGATATGTTCTAATTTTAAAGGTACAATTTCTATCACAATAGCATCCAAGTCATATCTTAAGTCTCTGCTCTATTAATATTGAACATTGGATAAACATAACTAGTCCCTGTCCCAAAGAGTTTAAAGTTGATGGTGGGGTGGGGTGGGTGTGTGTGTGGGGGGGGGTGTATTACAAAAGGATCTATGAACTTACCAGATACAGGAGTGTATGGAAGCATATATTTTGTAATGCTTCCTTGCAGGCATTTGGTGGAATCAGAGGTTTTATGATCCATGACTTGGCAACCAGTTCTAGTGGCTGCCCAAACAGCAGATGAGTTCAAGAAAACAAAAGTAGAAAGCCCAGAGGACACATAGGCATATATGCTATGTTACCGGCTAGAAAACATGTATATATAAATATTTTTTATTAATTCTCCCCAGTGCTTGTTGAAATTACAAGAATGGAGCCAGTAGTACTGACATTCAACATCAAGCATCATTCTTTTTGCACAGCCACGGTGTTAAAAGACTTGGGTGACTGGCTGAAGGACTTGAACTTTCTCATTTTTGTAACTGTAATGGCCAGGTAAAATAGCATTCTTCATTGGTCCATGTTTGCTAATGATACATTCCTATTAGCTATCTCCTACGTCACTTTATAGGTGATATGTATTAATCCTAATCAGTAAACCTACCTGATGTGTCCTGTTCCAGATGTAGTTAGTTGCTCTTCATTATCAGCAGAAAATGTGACCTTGTAAACATCCTGTGAAAAAGCTTTTGACCTCAGCACAATCTTTTCTTGTTTCCAGTCCCAGATAGTCAGCATGTAGTCAGGGCTGCCCCCAACACTGGCCAGCAAAGTGCCAGCATGGTTGAAATCACCAAAAACATAGGCTTCCTCTGTTCCACCTGAAGAAACATACAAGCCCAAATACAAGCACACGTGGAAGAGAGGAAGAAACAATAGGAAAATCTACTTAGAAGGACCTCAACTTTCACTGCAATTATTTATTTCACTAGGCAATGGCTCCCAGTTGGCTATTTCTACTAAATAAAATTTTCCTCCCATGCAATAATGAAAAAGCTTGAAATCAGTGTTCTCTATTTTGCTGTGAAGGAACAAAAGGTTGTATTTCTTTCTAAACTTCTAAAGTGCCCCACTATTCCATCTACTGGGATCTATAAACACTGGCCCATTTGTGTAAAATGAAAATAGAAATTTTTACACTACCTTGCAGTATTCTGTAGGGCCTCAGTGAAGGATAATCGTAGATTATGATGTTTGGCTTCTTTCCTTTTTCTCCTACTGCAAAGTACTGCTTAGTAGGGTGTGCCTTGAAAAAGCAAAAGTCCTGTTGCATGCTGTAATGACACCTTTGTCTCTACCCTGCTAGTTATTGAGTTGTATTTACTCACTCATTAGTCAAAAGATATTGCCATAAACACTAGGTTGCCTTTTTCTGTGAGTTTATTCTAAACAATTGCCAATCTATTGCTCCATATCAGAATGAAGCTACTGTGCACACAAAATGGTAAAAGCATTATGCACACAAAATGGCATACTGCACATATAACGCAGAACCATGACAAACTGTGAAATAATTTGCTTTATCATGCATTCTTTTACTATTCCTGCCTCGCTTAACCCACTAGCTGATCTTTCCATGAACAGCATGTGTCAGCAGCCATCTACTTCAGCAGACAGCTGCAGAAGAGCCATCCTGAATGACATTTTTCTGAAGATGTAAAGATGTACCATGATTGCCCAGAAAAGGCTGCTTACAATGTAGCAGAACAGTCTGAGGCTGGTACTCTGAAAGCCTTGCTCATGCAGAATACAACTGATAGATGGCAGAGCCCTTCACAGGGTAAGGTGCTTCAAATCCAGAGGAAGCATTTGAGGGTCCAAGCTCTTGGTAGGAGCTTACCATAGTGAAACAAGATACTTTTGGTCTTCATTTATCTAGGAACTTGATTTTCTAAATTTTAACTGCAGGCAAAACACTATAGTAATATCAGCTGTGACTAGAAGAGAGGAGTGTTCCAAAAAAAAAAAAAAAAGTTGATATGAGCCAAAATATTTAAATAAGAATGTAATAGCTCTAAAAATTAATCTCACCTGGCACCTGTCAGTCCTTTAAGGTATCCAAGCCTGGGGTTTATGTATGCAGATATTTGTCCTCTGCCAATTATGTTGGCAGGCTGAGTAGCCCACACTGCATGGTCCACACATCCCCCTAATCAATACCATACTTTCTTACATATATGCATGTGCAGCTGTAGAAACCTCCCATCAGGTAACCAAGTGAACATTTTGCTTCTAGAAAGTGACTAATATCCTAAAACATGAAACAAAATGCATACCACGATAAATCCAATTCCACCACCACTGCTGCTCCGGAGATAACTTTGAGATTTTGTTTTCAGGTCCAGGAGCACCACTTGGTTGCCTGCTATATACAACAGTGTTTGGCTATCCATCGGCAGCAGGTTTACACTTCTGGTGCAGTCATATCCAAAAGAATGTCTGAGAACAGTTCAATAAGGAAAAGACTTGAAATTTGCTTTCTAGAAAGGTTTACTAAGTGGATAGGAACACTTAAACAAAAAATCAAATGGGAATACTGAATCTGGTGACTAAAAGCCTGCTGGTAGGGGATAGTTTTGTTCAGTACACAGTGAAGGTAAAATATAACAAGCCTCTATAACTGAGGGGAAGGCACAAGTGAAGATCTTCTAAAGTTCATATTGCATCCTTTCATCTCCACTACAGTGCACGCCTTTTGCCTCTGTGGGATCCTTTGGGACTGCAAGGAATTCACATTCTATTGGTGTTTTTTAAAAAAAAAAAAAAAGTAAGAGAGATGCATCAGATTACTAGGAACTGTTCTATACCAAGGAAGAAGCTCACTTCTTAAAAGTTTACACGGAGATGCAGAGAAGGGAAAATCCAGTCTTCAACAGCAACTTGACTGTGTCTGCAGAGAAAACCACCAGCACTTGTGAAAGTCACATATCGTATTCTACTTGACCATACCTAGCAAAGGACTTCTTGCAGCTCTTAATTGATGGACATCACTTCCTTCATTCTACCAGTTACCAGGCTACAAATCCACCTGGTTTCTTCCCCACTTCTCCCTTAGCAGTTCTGTGAGGAAGTATGAGGTACACAGCTGCTCTTCTCCTTCCCTCCCCTCCAGATTCTTGGGGAACACCAGTGTTGCTACACAGAAAGGGAAAGCTTTGCAGGGTTTATTCTTAAACTAGTCTTCTTCCTGGCTGCATTAACTTGGCCATGATCTAGTTCTGCAAGAGTACTTATAACAATAAGAAATATGCCTGATAAGAAATGTTTATGAGGTCAAGACAACATTTAAGATTAAATTCACACAGAACCATAACTTGCCAGGATCCTTATCTGTGTCTCAACCAAAGGCATCCCACTAATGCCACATAGGATACTCCAAATTAGACAAGTATAATTTTAAGAACATACACTAAATATCCTCAGCTTTAAATTTGCACAGCCTCAACAGAAAGGATACTTAAGAGTAAGAAGGTTAATTGGTATCCCAGAGTCTTCAGTGACAAAAGGCTGTGAATATATATTTTCATAGTTATAGAAGAAAGTTTCGGAGATTTTCTTTTCCACCTTCTCAGGCCTTTTTTGTGCCTCCAAGGGTACTTCACTATTATGTTGCTCTTCAGAATTGCCTCCTGCATTTCAGAAGCGGGAACATAAAGGAAATTTATATTCACCATAAATTCTAGGCTCCTTGCTGATATTTGCACCTAACTGCAAAAGGGAAGGATTCACACATTCCTTTGCCTCCTTCAACAGAGCAATAGGCACTCCATAGCTCAAACAGGGGTACCATGTCTTAGTAACAACTTGTCCTGGAACAGTCTGTAACAAGTGCTCCCTCAGGCTTTTAAAAACTTTACTGTGAATATTCAAAACTGAAGAATTTAAAGAAGAAAAATTTTGAGTGTTTTAAAAACAATGATTTCAAAACTCAAGACCTACCAAAGTAATTCAGTTCAGCTTTGCTTGGTGTTTAGTCCTCAGCTCTAGAAACCAAATACAGTGTCTTTGTTCAGTAGCTTTTGAACACACATGATTATACAAAACAATTAGCAAAAACACATACAACAGACCACCACAAGACACCACTGTCCTCGAAAAGGCATACCAGTAATGTGTGACCCCATGTAGTTCTTCGCTGGACTGCAATGCAGAATACTGTCAACTTGACTTCCAACTAGTCATAAGCATTTGTTAATAGCACTTTTCAGTGTGCTACCTCTGATCAAATCCCCATTACCTATTTCATCTGTCTTGATTTTTTTTTCTCTCCTAGGTGTTCTATGAAAAACAACCAACAAAGGGGTCAGAGACCAGCCATGGGAAAGACCAATATAAAGTGCAAACTGAAAGGGAGCAGAGAAACTTAATAACTGTAACTTGATGGTGTTGGTCTGAGACGCTGTTCATAACAATAACAGTGAAGAAATGAAAACTAGAAAGTAGTATGATTTTTAAGGTCGTGACAACATCTCCTCAGTGGAAAGCAGTACTCACCAATGCCCTCAGTGTCTGATTCCACTTGTTCCACTTCTTCCTCCTGTTCCTCTGCAGTTGGTGATTCCTTTGGAAGACTAGTTTTGCTTTCTTCTGCAAAGGACAATTGGGATTACTTTCTTAGGTATGAATTCCTTTGACCAATTTGCTCATACATGCCATGTTAAATAAATATATAGTTCTGTAGTAGTAAAAAGAATCCCTTCTGCCCACAAGTGGACTTCCTGCTGTTTAGCACTAAGCATAGGGAGAAGATTGCTTTAAAAAAACCCATATTTTAAAACTTAGGGGAAGGAAAGAAACACATCCTGTAACAGGAAAAAGGTATAATAGGAAGATCAAACAAATGCCGAAAGTAATGCGCCAATATAAGCATCCAAAATCCTTCCAAAGTTCCACACGAGACTCACTAGTGGATTTTGTTATCCATGTTACCTACATCTAGTGTGTTAGTTGACATGCAGAACATCTGAAATAGACACTGGACAGGGATTTCAAGATGAAAACTGTTAAAAATAGAAATACAGGTCTCTGACTGAAAGAGACTGGCGGAATTAATGCAGTACTAGCTACAGAGACAGGTTTAAGCAGCAAATAGTTTCAGGGGAGAGACTTTGTGAGCTGAGGGACAGCAGAAACTGCAGACACAGTGGTCAGCCCAGAACTTTCCTGGTAGGGGTCATCTTTGACCAGAGTCAAAATGAAATTTGGCAATACCAAGAGCAGCAACTGAAGATGAACACATACTAGTAAGGAGTGGGTAAGTGGTAGGAGAAGCCAGAAGCTACTGTAGGTTCAGTATTGAAATCACTATATAACAGCAGGAAATACTCACGGACACCACTGTGATCTGCCGGTGCACCTTCTGCTGGCTGCTCATCGATTCCCTCCTGTTCCCTTGGAGAAGATGTCATGTCCTCTTTACCTGATGGTGGTGAAGAGGAACTTTTTAGTATTTTTGCCTTCATCAAATGCTTTGAGGTTCCCAAAGAAAGTATTTGTGTTCTGCCTGTACACTACAAATACAGATAACGCAAAGGTATGTCCTAATTTGTAGGGTGAATTCATTGGTCCAGGTTTTAGAACTCCAGGCTCTGTGTACATTGCTATAGAAAGACTAAATATTGCATAACAGGGGAAGCTGAAAACTGATTTAAATGTTTTGTGCTTCTCTTTAATATACTGAGGGAAAATTTGGTTTTGAGACAACAAGGCTATTCCTCCACCTTTCTAATGGACTTCATAAAAACATCAGGGGATAGACATTCTGAGATCATCCAATATCTTGAATGGAGAAGAGGTGAATCTTTAAGAAAAAAGGACTTTCTTCAAAACATTCTATATTCATGGAAAGAGAATCAATAAAATTAACACAATTAAAAAAAAAAAAAAAAAACACTTTAGACAGCTTAACTAATACCCCCCAGCAATTTTTCAGCTTTCAGACTACCGTTTTCAGAGTGCTACAATTTCACTAGTTATTATTGTCCTCTGGAGTGGGAAAGATCCAATTCTTTTCATATAAAAACCAAACATCTTGATCATTCATATAAATGTCTCTGAAAGAAGCAAAAAACCACAAGCATTGCTCTTATTCTAAATTTGTTCTACCTTTTGATTTCAAACATGGTCTCCATTTCCAAATAAAACACCTTAAAATAAACATTGGGGCAATGTTGTACAAATACTGCAGCTATAATATACTGTTAGAAATCAGAAAATTCAGAAGTTGAATGTAAAGAAACTTAAATATTCATAATAAAAAATATAGGCAGGATGCAAACAAATCTCTTCTTATGTGTAAGTGTGACTTTGATACCAAGAAAAAGTGCCTAAAAATGCATTTTCTGTTTCTGGCATTGGGTCAGAATCCATTTCGGAAAAGATCTTTTGAGGCATCTCAGATTTTTCAGGCATTTCAGGAAAGGCAGTGTCCAAACATAATGCCATCCAGCAGAAGGACAGTGAGGGCAAAGAAATACCGTAGACATCATTCATGTCATCATGCAGTCAACCTGCCCTACTCGATCTTCATCCAGGGGTTCTGAGTCTATGCCAGAGTCTGACTTTTCTGCATAATTTCATTTAAGAATTAAAAGGAGCTTTTGCCCCTCAGGAGTGCTGAAAAAAACTTTAAAATAGATGTGCAGAAAGTTTTAAGTTCAAAAAACAAATCAAAAGAAAACAACTGCAATATATCTCAATATATTTAAATTAAATTCATGAGGTTTTAATGGGCTAACAGAACTGATATCTATGAAGTTGAAGAAATAGCTACAGACCAGTTGCATAAGTATATAGTCGAGTGTTCAGAGACCTGAATTCTAATTCCAGACCTAGTAACGACGTGTACAATTTGTATCAGCCATTTCACCTCTGGCTGTCTCAGTTATCTCTTATGAAAAATGAGATAATAATACTTACCCATCTTAGCAAAGTATTTTGATACCCATAGAGAAAAGTGCTATAAAATTTCAAATTATTGTAACTAATTAGCAATCATTTATCTTCTAAAAATTAAGACTATCATAGTTTTCATTATAAATTAATTCATATCTGGAAAATGCTTTAGGCTGAAAGAGGGTACGAACATTTCCGCCTGCATTGATATCTGGGTGCTAGTTAAAGAAAGCTATTGCAATGTACACTGCATATATTACTCTGATGGCATTCAAGCACTGTAATGAAACAAATTTTGAATTTAAACACTCAGAGGAAGCTCAAGGGGGGAACACGTCTACTTTGGTTGCAGATTCTGTGTTGACTGATCCAGAAGACTTTTGTGTAGGTTCACTGTGACCAAGGTATGAATCTCTCTGAATGCTGATTTTATTTTCCTGTAAATTTTTTTTGGAGACAGTTTTTCTAAATAGGCTAGAATTAAGGCTCTTGAAACTGAGAACTGAGATAGATAGTGGCAAGTAGAACTGGTGTGAAGTGAGAAAACAAAAACAAGCTGGCAACCAAACATTTTTCCCAACCCTAATTACACAGTATGCCTGACCAAGACAGTATTATTTTCTTCTCCTAGTCCTAGTAATTTGAGATATTGACTTGTAATACTACACAAATCCACATCAGTTCCACCATTTAGCTTTCTAAGAACCCACTCAGGAGTGAACTCAGATTTCTTTGTTTGAGTGGCCAGTGCTATAAGCTGCGAATTTCGGCAAAGCTCCATTTTCTTTCAAATTGTCTTTCTCTTACCTATCTTCTCAAAAGCCACAGCTCACCTCAGAATGAAGAAATGTGTTCATTTAGGCATATTATTTCAGTTATTTCAAAAGTAAGATGTTTCTTGGCAATTTTGCTGCCACACTGAATCCTTTATATATAGAAGCTTCTCAAAAACTCTCAGTAAATTTGGACATTAAGAGATTTCTCATCTCAGTCAATTGTCCCATTTATTCAAAATAAAGGATAATTACATCAAATGGGCGTTTATTTTGTAACACATAAACAAACTCACTGAGGTGACACCACTTTCTCTGTATTCTGTTATCCTACATTTTTCCTGTTTCCAGAAAAAAAGGTGTTTAAATGCGTAAGCTTCATAAATGCAGTGCTTGCCTTCATAAATTCTGTGACTGACACTTCAACTGCATAAAATGCATCAAATTAAATAATTATCAAAATGCAGCCTACAGATTTACTTTAGAAACTGAACGTATGTAGCAGTTACTACTTTAAGCTGTCTCTGCCCCACTATTAACTGTGCATCTGTGCTTAAAAGACATCACCTATTTCACCTCAATTTTTAGATCTTCAGAAGCGTGATAATCAGTTTTGTCCACTAATTTAGGGTATGTAGAAATAGGGAACTATTACTGCAGAACATAACTGCAGTGCTATTAGTACCAGTAATAAGCAAGAGATTAAAAATTCATCTCTACACTGCACTACTTCTGCAGGATTTCATTTTTTGGTTCACTCCAAAATGTGCAATTTTTTGTAGAAAAGCTTTGGTCACCGGTGGGCTTTGAAAAAAAGTCACTTGTTCTTTCCTTCAGGAGAGATTGTCTTGTGTGTTATTCCTCTATTTGTCTTTATTCCACGTGAAGGAACTCGGTACGTCCCAGGACTTCATTTTGCTTTATTACTTCCAATCCTGACTCCTCTTAGTGCCATACTATGAGCCTTACAGGCTACACTCTGCTATTTTTCTGGCCTAGGGCTAACACTGGTCTAAAATAATGACTGCTATGTTTGACTATCATAAGGGGTGTCTGTCACGAGGAATTACATACTAATCATCTGTTCCAGGCTGAGGCATCTTCTTCAAGGTCTGCTTTGGGTGTGTTGGATTTCTTCCCATCTGCCAAGTCCTGCTTGTTTAACTCATCTTCCCCTTAGCAGTTTTTTTCTAAGTCTTTCATTTCTTGATGGAAAAAAGCATGCCGCTGAACAACCCTCTAAGCATTCCTTTTGGCCTTCAGACCACGTCAGTGTACATCAGCAATTTACTGGGCTGCTGATGAGCACAACAAGTGCAAGCAGCAGAGTTTCACAAAACTTACTTTCATTCAAAAAAATGTAAAGTCTTTTAGTGTTTCTATATACAAAGAAAAATATCCAAGTGCAAATCAGGCATAGCTATCCAGTGCTGTCTGTTATCAGTCAGGATTACTACAAAATTAGTAACAAAAGTCAGTTTTAGGCAATCAACCCAAAATTCCAAGGAAATAATTTTTCGTAATAGAGCATATTGCTGTCCCTCTTACAATAGCTAGAAGACTTGAGAGCAAGAATAACAGGAAATACCAATTCTCACAGCAGTTAAGATTAAGTATATAAAATATTTACAAGTCAGAGACTGAGACAGCAAGGATAAAGTTACAAAGCAGGATCTAGACACATCATCTTTATTATAGCCCCATTGTCTCTTCCTGCTTAGAACCTCACTATTGCTATGTTGCACACATTTAAAATATTTTCCTATAAAACAGGAAAAATAAAACATAACTCTAATTTCCAACCTTACAACTTTACGCAGCCAACACCAAGTTGGGTGGGAGTGTTGGTCTGCTTGAGAGTAGGAAGGCTCTACAGAGGGATCTGGACAGTCTGCAGCCAATTGTATGAGGTTCAACTAGGCCAAGTGCTGGATCCTACACTTGTGTCACAACAACCCCATGCAACACCACAGGCTTGGGGAAGAGTGGCTGGAAAGCTGCCTGGCAGAAAAGGACCTGGGGGTGTTGGTTGACAGGCAGCTGAATATGAGCCAAGAAGGCCAATAGCATCCTGGCTTTTCTCAGAAACAGTGTGGTCAGTGGGAGCGGAAAAGTGATTGTGCCCCTGTACTTGGCATTGGTGAGGCTGCACCTTGAATACTGTGTTCAGTTTTGGGCCCCACACTACAAGACAGACATTGAGGTGCTGGAGCATGTCCAGAGAAGAGCAACAAAGCTGGTGAGGGGTCTGGAGCACAAGTCTGATGAGGAGGGGCTAAGGGAACTGGAGTTGTTTAGTTTGGAGAAGAGGAGGCTGAGGGGAGACCTTATCACTCTCTACAACTGCCGGAAAGGGGGTTGTAGCAAGGTGGGGGTCAGTCTCTCCTCCAAGGTAACGGGCAATAGGACAGGAGGAAATGGCCTCAGGTTGCATCAGGGGAGGTTTAGATTGGTTATTAGGAAAAACTTCTTCACCGAAAGGGTTGTCAAGCATTGGAACGGGCTGTCCAGGGCAGTGGTTGAGTCCCCATCCCTGGAGGTTATTTGAAAGATGGGTAGACGAGGTGCTTAGGGACATGGTTTAGTGGTGGACTTGGTAGTGTTAGGTTAACAGCTGGACTTGATGATCTTAAAGGTCTTTTCCAACCTAAGCAATTCTATGATTCTAAAGTAGTACTCTGTATGATCCAGATGTCCTAGCTCTGTCTCATGCAAGCAAAAGTTTCAAGTCTCTTAAAGTC